TAGCATTCATAGATCAATATGGGTGAAGAAACAGTAATAAGCCACATGTGCTTGTCCCACAGTCAAAATATAAGCCTGTTCACATGTCCTGTCCATTTCAAATTACCTAAGGTGCATCTGAAGTCAGGCAACTGAATTTCCTAATAGCTACTATCCCCATCTCAAGGATATAAATATGTTTTAGTTAGTTAGGTTTTCTCACTGCACTGAGGCTTTCCTTTGTAAACAGTAACTACCTCTTCAGTGGTTAAGTCCTTTGGGAAAAAATTATATGATTACACCAACTTGAGGAAGGAACTCTCTTGAACTTTACTGTGATTGAGGAACTCATTTTACTGAATACGTCTGACAAGCTTATGCCATTTGCAACATTTTCACTGTGCCTATCACCCTCAATCACTGAGTTTAAATGAATGTACCGATAGCACTATTAAAACTCAACTGGCAATAGTGTAGAGACCCTCCAAATACTTTCGCCAAAAGCAAAGCCTTTGATCTCAGATCCAATCTTTTGGAACTCCTAAATTCTCACCATTGATGGCAGTCACAGGATGCTCCACACAAGTAGCCTTTGCCTCTTTTGATACACAGGTGATTAAAGAAGATACATAGTTGACCCTTGAACAACAAGAGTTTGAACTGCACAGGTCAACTACATGAGGATTTTCTTCTACACAGATAACATAAACTTACAGTGACAATAAATCTATCTTCCCTTCCTTAAGATTTTTTTAATATATTTTCTCTAGCTTGCTGTAGTATAAATACAGCATATAATATATATATATAAATATCTGTTAATAAATATCTGTTAATGAAATATCTGTTAATTGAATGTTATCAATGAGGCTTCTAGTCAACAGCAGGCTGCTAGTAGCTAAGTTTTGGAGAATCAAAAGTTATATATAGATTTTTGACAGGAGCAGGGGGATTGCTTAGGAGGGGAAGGAATGGACTAGTGCTCCTCACCCCCACATTATTCAAGGGCCAAGTATACGTCAATATTGTAAAAGCCTAACTGTTTTGATCAAAAATAACTATGTTCTGATTGAACAATTCTTTCACAGACTATTTCAAGGAGACAAAGACCTTAAGCTTCCATTTAATTATCTCCCACTCCCTGAAACATGGATTCTGCCCTTATTGCTCCACAGAAATTGCTCTTATAAGATCATTACTGAGCTCGAAAACACTAAATCTAAGTGACACTTTATTAAATCTTTATCCTAAATAAAAAGAAAAAACACCAACAAAAAACCTTTATCCTGACTCAAACCTTTGAGCTCCATTATCCAAATCTAAATTGGCTGGACTCCAAAACTTATGCTTTTAACCATTACATTATACTTGCTTCAAGGCAACCATACTTCCAGTCATCTGATTTCCTGCATTCCAGGCCCCACAAGAAGTCACCAAATCCAAATTAACAATTTTTAAATCTCTCAAATACCTCTGGAAGCAGTTTTCTATTGGTGATAACTCCCAAACACCTGACTTAGAAATTTGATGGTCATCTAAAAATCCCAATAACACAATGATAGAACAAAACTTACCTTCACTATCCCCATCTGAAGCTTTCCTGTATGCCTATTATGACTCAGTATCACTCAGAGCTTCTTTCTAGAATTGGGGTCTGGCACACACAGCAGAATAGTACAGAAGGAAAGTGTCAGTTTTCCGAGAAACAACTTCACTAAGTTGTCCAATGATAGATGAAGGTCTGTTGAGCCCCAGAACCAGCAGTGGTAATTGAGATGTGAATGAATGAGACCCCGCCCTGCACAGTCTGAAGAACAAGAAAACCATCTGCCATCCTGCTGAAGAACACCAAACTCTCTAGCAGAACACTGCTAAGTTATCCACTAGTGCTAAAAGAATTCAGAAGGTGCCAGCTGAAATAACCCTTGATCCTCCTCCAAACTGTAGGGCTGGGCCTAAAGAAGATAACATTTATGATTGGAAATCAACCATACTTCCTGCACCAGGTTCTACATATGAGGGCGGTGTCTTTTGTGAATATCACAATTTCATGTGAGTGTCTGTTAAAACCACCAACAGTTACTCTCCACACTAGACTCTATCATTGCAACATCAACTGTCAGGGAGTCATCTGTCTGGACATTCGTAATGAGAGCTGGGGTCCCACTTTAATTCAAAGGTTTTGCAGTTGACTGCAATTTTTACAGACTGCAGTGCTACAGATCCTCTGGTTGGAAGCACAGGCATTTGGTATTTGACCAACAAAGCAGAACATAACAGGACAGTCAGACAGTGGATCAAGAAATATGCAGTATAACTCATATCATTTGGAGGCAGTATGAAGGAGCGCAACTGCGTCTTCTCACTGTGATGCAAATCTGTATAGCCTTTAAAACACCAACTTCTGGGGCCTCCCTGGTGGTGCAAGGGGTTAAGTCTCAGCACTATGAAGCTATCCCCAGGCACTGCAGCACGGGTTCATCCCCAGCCAGGGAATTAACCCAACCACATGGTGCAACAGACCTCTCCTGTCTCACCAGCTGCTCCCCTCAGCAGTGTATTTCAATCAGCGTGTTCTGCTCCCCACTGTCTCTGCTGAATCCTCTCATCACCACCCCTCCCTCTGGCCTACGCCCCAGCTCTTGTATACATAAATCTTTTTTAAAAATTAAAAAAAAAAAAAATCTTCTGTATTTATGTAATACCAATTCTACTCTCTGCCTTTACCCTCTGGTGACTGGGAAACTCCCCTAAAAGTTCATAAAGCACCTGATGTATTGTCACAATGAACATGCTCCTGAAGGTATAAACAAACAAAAAAAACCTCCCAAGATTCAAACCATATGAGAGGGAATACTTATCTCTCTTGTAGGATTCCCTCTTCTGCAGAAACTACTTAGAATAACTTTGAAGGTGGAGGAAGATGTCATTAGACAGCTAAGAAACAGTGGTTGAGTGATTTACTAATTGTCAGCCTATACAGAGCCAGAAACGCAGGGCACCAATAGCATGTATCTGTGGGAAAATATTTATTGCACCTGGCCTCACTGACTTGTTTTCAGATTTAAATAGCACCTGGCCTCACAGACTTGTTTTCAGATTTTTAAAAAGTATTTATTTATGCATACAGGAACTGGGATACAGGCCAGAGGTGCAGGGGGTGAGAGGCTTCACCAGAGACAAAGCAGGGAACAGAACAGGCAGACTGACTGAAATACACTGCTGAGGGGAGCATCGGGCGAGTAAGGAGAGGTCTGCTGCGCCATGTGGGTAGCTCCCTGGCCGGGGATCGAACTCGTGCTGAGGCTGCGGAGTGCCTCACAGGTTGCGTCTCAACCTCCTGCGCCACCAGGGAAGCCCCTGTTTTCAGATTTAAATAGCACCTTTTTGGTAATGATGAAAGCATTAAATAAGTTAACAGTTACCAATAGTTAGCGTCCGAAGAACTAATCCAATCCTTGCCCGCCGAGGTCAGCGGTCCTAACCCTACCTTGCTCGACCAGACACTCAATGAGAATCCTGTTGTCCAAGGAGGTCTCGGACTCAGTCTCCATAGACTCGCTTCTAAAAACCTGGTGACCTGAGAAAAGCTTGAGACAAGTGACAACCCGCGCTTCCCTAGCACCCTCCACGTGTCCAGAAGCAGCGGTGGCGCGCGGCCTTCCCGCGAAATCGCAGTCCCAGGGAATTGGAGAAAGGTCAAAGGCAGTGAAATTTCAACACAAGCGCGGGGCTCCTCGTCTCTGATTGGCGAGCGGCGCTCTTCCGGGAAGTGACGCACATTTGCCTGCGCCCGCGGAGTGTCAGAGTAGCGGTGATTTTGCGTAGAGCAGCCCGCGAGGGGGATGCCGCGGAAAGAGAGCGCAGCTCCCCGCCGAGAAGGACCGCTCCTCCGAGGCCTCTTTCGGCCATGGGCCCGCGGGGCCGCCAGCGTCGGGCAGGGGCAGTCCAGAGCACCAATGACAGCAGCGCCCTGAGCAAGAGCTCCCTCGCCGCCCGCGGGTACGTGCGGGACGCCTTCGCAGCTTTGCTGGTTTCCGGGGCCGCGCGCCGCGCGCCGCTCATCCACCGCGGCTACTACGTCCGCGCGCGCGCCGTGCGTCACTGCGTGCGCGCCTTCCTGGACCGGACGTGCGCGGCCCCCGGCGCGCCCACCGCCCAGATCCTGTCCCTGGGCGCTGGTTCCGATTCGCTGTATTTTCGCCTCAAAGCTGCGGGCCGCCTGGCGAGAGCTGCAGTCTGGGAGGTAGATTTTCCAGACGTGGCTTGGCGCAAAGCGCAGAGGATTCGAGACACGCCAGAACTGTGTGCGTTAACCGGGCCCTTCCAGAGCGGGGACCCAGCTTCAGCCCTGTGCTTTGAGAGCTTGGACTATCGCATCCTGGGCCTGGACTTGAGGCAAGTCCAGCAGTTGGATCAGGCCCTGACCGCGGCGGGCCTTGACATCGCTGCACCCACTCTGCTCCTGGCCGAGGCCGTGCTTACCTACCTTGAGCCGGATCATGCTGCGGCCCTAGTCGCCTGGGCGGCGCAGCGTTTTCCTAATGCTCTTTTTGTCATCTATGAGCAGATGAGGCCGTTTGACGCATTTGGCCAAGTCATGCAGCAACATTTTCGTCAGCTCAATTCTCCCCTACACGGCCTTGACCGCTTTCCGGACGTGGAGGCCCAGCAGCACCGCTTCCTTCAGGCTGGCTGGACTACCTGCACTGCCATGGACCTGAACAAATTCTATAGTTGCTTTCTATCCGCGGAAGAACGCCAACGCGTGGAAAATCTTGAACCTTTTGATGAGTTTGAGGAGTGGCATTTGAAGTGCTCCCACTACTTCATACTGGCCGCTTCTAGGGGAGACACACTTTCCCAAACTCTGGTGTTCCCACCCACAGAGGTGTTTCCTGGGGTAGATCCTGCCCCACCCTCAGGGGTCTTCCCTGCCAGTTTAGTCACCAGTGACAGCCAGGGCCCAAACCTTAAGAGATATGGCCATGCCTCTGTCCATTTGCGCCCAGGCGTTATTCTCAGTACTGGAGGATTTGGAGAGGAGGAAGGGCGCCATTGCCGAGTGAGCAAATTTCACTTGCTCTCAAGATCCTGTGAATGGAAAAGCAACCACATATGTCATTGGGGAACTGGGAATCAATGGGATGGGCGCCTTTATCACACCATGACAAGACTATCAGATACTCATGTTCTGGTACTGGGAGGGAGACTGTCCCCAGTAACTCCAGCTTTGCCAATTCTCCAACTTTGTTTTTATAAGAGTGAGGGCAATAGCACTGAGGACCTAAATGTAACAGTAACAAACACTGGCCCAGAAGATTCCACTTTGTCATGTTGGCGGCATTCAACAACAGAAGTGTCGTATGAGAGTCAGAAATACTTATTTGTGTATGGTGGTCGAAGCGTAGTGAAACCTGTACAAAGTGACTGGCATTTCCTACATGTGGGGACAATGACTTGGGTCAGAATCCCCGTGGAGGGGGAAGCACCTGAAGGTCGTCATTCCCATAGTGCCTGCAGTTGGCAAGGTGGGGCACTTATTGCTGGAGGTCTGGGTGCTTCTGAGGTGCCACTGAGCTCTGTGCTCTTTCTGAAACCAATCTCTTGTGGATTCCTCTGGGAATCAATAGTCATTCAGCCTCCCATTACTCCAAGGTACTCCCACACAGCTCATGTGTTCAATGGAAATCTTCTGCTTGTTGGAGGGGTCTGGATTCATTCCTCCTCAATTCCTGGAGTGACTGTTATCAATCTGACTACAGGATTGAGCTCTGAGTATCAGATTGATACAACATGTGTGCCATGGCCATTAATGTTACACAACCATTCCAGTATCCTTCTTCCCGCAGAGCAAAAACTGCTGCTCCTTGGAGGTGGTGGGAATTGTTTTTCCTTTGGCACCTACTTCAACCCCCATCCAGTGACATTAGACCTTTCTTCCTTAAGTGCTGGGCAGTAAGGGGTATACTTTTGATATGTTTAGTCTCTACTAAAGAAGAAAAGGTTTCCACAAATAAGAGTTGACTCTACCTAAAGATGCTACCCCTCCCACTATCTCCTCCCTGCTTAATGCTGCTACCTAGTAAGAAAGGTTGTTAAGACATACTGACAATCCAAAAGATGGTACAAAAATAAAACACAAATAGGCCTATCCAAAGAGAATGGTTACACAGTACTAGAGTTGGGATTGGAGACCTTTGGATTTCTGTATCTATTGGTCTTCCTTGTGGTTTCTAAATAAGTTTATTCATTTATTGAGTTACCATGGCCTTTAGCCTTATTCAAGTAAAAAAATTCCCACTCCCAGGCTTTGTGATTCGAGATGGTACCTTGGAAAAGATTTCACGTAGATCCTTTATAAGAATATGAGGTTGAATATAGTTGAAGAGACAGTTTTCATCTCATTCTTCATGGATGAAACCTGAAATGAACCCATTTGCAGTTTAATTAAAACAGTGCTATTTAGTGCAACAGAGAACTCTGGAATAGCTTTAACAAGACACATTTCTAGAACTTTATTGAAAAACATGCTTTTGTTTCATTTTTTGGTCATTGGTTCCGTATTCATTTGGGTTTTTATGTGCCAATAAACCAAACATTTGATATTTTAACTTTTCACATAGTACAATATTTTGCTCCAGATTAACTTCCTACCTTTTACTACACTCTGTTCCTAGAGTCTGACATTTTTATGGACTATATCAATGAACCCTCTTGTCTATTTTTTTGTGAGTGCTACTCATTAGAGGCACCAGAAGTGGGTGTGTGGGCAGGCAGAGTGAATCAAGGTATTCCTGGCTTTCCCCTGCAGTGTGCAAGTTAGCTGTGGCTATATTCTGTTAGAGACCACAGGTCCTATCATATCGCCCTGTCCTAAAAGATAATAATTCTAATTCTCCACCACTCTTGTCATTGTTCCTTCCTTCAGGCCTAGAAGTTGTAACCACTGTTTACTAGACCTGAGCAATGTCCACACTGGCTATTAGCCACACTGGCAACCTAACAAGTGATTTAAGTGATTTAACAAGTGGTTTTAAATTCTTAATTTAAAATTAAGAATTCAGTGGCCCGTCACATTAAACATATGGTAAGTGCTCAATGTGGCTAATGGCTATGGTATTAGACAATGTAGACAGAACATTTCCATTACTATAGAAGGAATTACTGGACACCACTGGGTTACTTCACCCAGTGGTGAGTTGGTTTCTTAATCGTGTCCACTCCCTTTTTTAGAATCAGATTTTATAGGTTTACCATTCACTTACAAAACTATATACTTTTTGGAGTACAGCTTCACACCTCTGTGCTTCACTTACCCACAACCAAAGTTCTAGTGCCAACACACTATTACATTGATCCCCTTCTACCCATCCTCCCATCCTGCTGACTCTGTTTTGATATCTTTATTAAATTACCTTCAGTCATCCCCAATTATCTTTCCTGGGAGCTTTATTAAATCAATGAACTATCTTAGGTATTCATCCTTGAATTTTAACCTTAATTTGTCATTAAATTGTATAAACCTTGTGAAATTCATGAAGGTAGCAGCTTTGGGGGTACTAAATGTATCACTTTAGTATTGTTAGTTTTCAATCCTTGAAATCTTAGCAGTATCCTGGGAATGTTTATGTACCTAAGTTTTTTTTTTTTTAAGGATTTATTTTTATTTATTTATGCATACAAGAACTGGTGTCTAGTCCAGAGGTGTGTGGGGTGGGGGTGTGAGAGGACTCACCAGCAATAGAGTGGGGAGCAGAACAGGCAGGTCTACTGAAATACACTGCTGAGGGGAGCAGCAGGTGAGTCAGGAGAGGTCTGCAGTGCCATGTGGGTCAGCTCCCTGGCTCGAACTCATGCCTCAGTGGCTAAGGATAGCATGATAGCACTGAGACTTAACCCCTAGCCATCAGGGAGGCCCTAAGTAACTAAATTCTGTAAGTACTAACAATGTTAACATCTTTTTTTTTTTTTTGAAATACTTAATGGAATTCTTTTATTCTTTTTTTTTTTTTTCTTTTTTTTTTTTCAGTTTTTTTTTTTTTTTAAATATTAAATTTTATTTTTATATTCCCCCATACAATTGCAAACGCCCCATTCTGACCCCAATCCTTCCCCTCCCGCCCCCCACCCCCAAAAAGTGTCTCTGGTTCATAGTTTTTTGTTGATTTTGATTTTCACTTTCTTATATTCATTTTCCTGGTCCCTTATTTAAGTTTTCTAGATTCCTGCTATGAGTGAGACCATCCGGTATTTTTCTTTTTCTTTTTGGCTTATTTCGCTGAGCATGATCCCTTCCAGTGCCATCCATGTTGCTGCAAATTGCATGTGTTTATCTTTTTTGAATGCTGAGTAATATTCCATGGTATATATGTACCACATCTTCTTGATCCAGTCATCTATTTTGGGCATTTGGGTTGTTTCCAAAGCTTAGCTATTGTAAACAGTGCTGCTATAAACATAGGAGTGCAGGTGCTCTTTGGAATTGATGTTTCTGTGTCCTTTGGGTAAATACCTAGGAGTGGAATTGCTGGATCATATGGAAGCTCTATGTTTAGTAGGTCCAGAAATCTCCACACAGCTCTCCATAGTGGTTGGACCAGTTTGCACTCCACCAACAGTGCACAAGAGTTCCTTTTTCTCCACATCCTCGCCAACATTTGTTGTTGCTAGTTTTTTTAATATGTGCCATTATCACTGGTGTGAGATGGTATCTCATGGTAGTTTTGATTTGCATTTCCCTGATTACAAGTGATGTTGAACATTTTTTCATATGTCTGTTGGCCATTTGCATTTCCTCTTCAGAGAAGTTTCTTTTTAGCTCTTCTGCCCATTTTTTGACTGGATTATTTTCTTTGTTGTTGCTGAGTCTCATCAGCTCTTTGCAGATTTTTTGTGATCAGTCCTTTATCATTAGTGTTGGGTGCAAAAATGTTCTCCCAGTTGGTGGGGTTTCTCTTTGTTTTTGTTATTGTCTCTTTTGCTGTGCAGAAGCTCTTTAATTTGATGTAGTCCCAGCTGTTTATCTTTCTCTTCACTATCACTGCTTTGGGTGATGTGTCTGTAAAGATGTCTTTGATGTGCAAATCCCGTAGTGTTTCGCCTATATTTCCTTCTATGTATTTTATGGTTTCAGGTCTTATGTCTAGTTCTTTAATCCATTTTGAGTTGATTTTTGTGTATGGTGTGAGGTAGTGGTCAAGCTTCATTCTTTTGCATGTAGCGACCCAGTTTTCCCAGCACCATTTATTGAACAAACTTCTTTGCTCCAATGCATAGTCTTTGCTCCTTTGTCAAAGATTAGTTGACCATAAATCTGTGGGTTTATTTCTGGATTTTCTATTCGATTCCATTGGTCTGTATGTCTGTTCTTGTTCCAATACCATGCAGTTTTGATGATTATGGCTTTGTAGTATAGTTTGAAGTCTGGAGTGTGATGCCTCCATTTCCTTCTTTTTTTTTCAGTAGAGCTTTGGCTATTCGGGGTTTTTGGTGATTCCATATGAATTTCATCAATAATTGTTCTATTTCTTTGAAGAATGCCATTGAGATTTTGATTGGAATAGCATTGAATCTGTATATTGCTTTGGTAGGATGGCCATTTTAATAATGTTTATTCTTCCAATCCATGAGCAGGGGATGTCTTTCCATTTCTTTGTGTCTTCTTCTATTTCTTTTAACAGTGTTTTATAGTTTTCTTTGTATAGGTCCTTTACCTCTTTTGTTAGATTTATTCCCAAATATTTGATTTTTTTTGTTTCGATAATAAAAGGGGTGGTTTTTTGATTTCTTCTTCTTCAGATTTATTGTTTGTGTATAGGAAGGCTACTGACTTTTGCGTGTTGATTTTGTATCCTGCCACTTTACTGAATTGATTGATGAGTTGAATTAGTTTTTCTGTGGAGATTTTGGGGTTCTCTATGTATATTATCATATCATCTGCAAATAGTGATAGTTTGACTTCTTCTTTTCCTATTTGGATTCCTTGGATGTCTTTCTCTTGTCTTATTGCTCTGGCTAGGACTTCCAGTATTATATTGAAAAGCAGTGGTGAGAGTGGACATCCTTGTCTTGTTCCAGATCTTAATGGAATTGCTTTCAGCTTTTCACCATTGAGAATGATACTGGCTGTTGGCTTGTCATAGATGGCCTTTATGATGTTGAGGTATGTTCCTTGTATCCCAAGAATTTCAAGGGCTTTTATCATGAATGGGTGTTGCACTTTGTCGAAAGCTTTCTCAGCATCTATTGATATTATCATATGGTTTTTATATTTCTTTTTGTTGATGTGTTGGATAACGTTGATTGATTTTCGGATGTTAAACCATCCTTGTGCCCCTGGAATGAATCCAACTTGGTCGTGGTGAATTATCTTATGGATACATTGTTGGATTCTGATAGCTAAAATTTTATTGAGGATTTTTGCATCAGTGTTCATTAGGGAGATTGGCCTATAGTTTTCCTTTTTTGTGTTGTCCTTATTCGGTTTTGGTATTAGTGTAATATTGGCTTCATAGAACGTGTTTGGTATTGTCCCTTCCTTCTCAATTTTTTGGAAGAGTTTGTGAAGGATAGGCACTAATTCGTCTCTGAATGTTTGGTAGAATTCATTTGTAAATCCATCAGGTCCTGGGCTTTTGTTTTTGGGGAGGTTTTTAATTACCATTTCAATTTCGCTGCTTGTAATTGGTCTGTTTAGTGTTCTATTTCTTCTTTATCTAGCTTTGGGTGATTGTAGAGTTGTAGGAATTTGTCCATCTCCTCTAGATTGTTGAACTTGTTTCCATATAACTGTTCATAGTAGTTACTGATTATTCTTTTGATTTCTGCTGTGTCCGTTGTGATTTCTCCTCTTTCATTTATGATTCTGTGTATTTGTGCTTTCTCCCTTTTTTCCTTTGTGAGCCTGGCTAGGGGTTTGTCTATTTTATTTATTTTTTCAAAGAACCAGCTCTTGGTTTCATTGATCTTTTGGATTGTTTTTTTAGTTTCAATTTCATTTATTTCTGCTTTGGTTTTTATTATTTCTTTCTTCTACTGGTTCTGGGTTTTTTTGTTGTTCTTTTTCTAGATCTTTGAGCTTCGAGATTAGGTTGTTTCTTTGAGTTCTTTCTTGTTTTTTGATGTGAGCTTCTATTGCTATATATTTCCTCTTATTACTGCTTTTGCTGCATCCCGTACATTTAGGATATCGGTGTCCTCCTTGTCATTCAATTCAAAGAATTTTTTAATTTCTTCTTTGATCTCCTCGTTAGTCCAGTGGTCTTCCAGTAGTGTGGCTTTTAATCTCCATGAGGTAGGATAGTTCCTTGCCTTCTTTTATGATTTATTTCTAGTTTGATGCCTTCGTGGTCAGAAAAGATGGTTGGTATGATTTCAATCTTGGTGTATCTGTTGATGTTTGTCTTGTGCCCCAGTATGTGATCGATCCTGGAGAATGATCCGTGTGCGCTTGAGAAAAATGTGTACTCCGTTTTTTTGGGTTTAGTGTTCTATAGATGTCTGTTAAGCCCAAATGCTCTAGGTCCTTATTTAGAGCTTTAGTTTCTTTACTTATTTTTTGTCTTGTTGATCTATCCATTGTTGATAGTGGTGTGTTGAAGTCTCCCACTACATATGTGTTTCTCTGATGTCTGTTTTCAGAGAGGACAACAGTTGTCTGATATATTTTGGTGCTCTTTCGTTTGGTGAGTATATGTTAATGAGTGTTATTTCTTCTTGAAGTATTGTCCCCTTAATCATAATGTAGTGACCATTGGGGTCTCTTTTTATTTTTTTGAGTTTGAAGTCTGTTTTATCTGATATAAGTATAGCTGTTCCTGCTTTCTTTTTTGGCCCATTTGCTTGTAGGATTGTTTTCCATCCTTTGACTTTGAGCCTATTTTTATCTTTTGTAGCTAAATGTGTTTCCTGGAGACAGCAAAAGGTTGGGTTTTGTTTCTTAATCCAGGCTGCAACTCTGTGTCTTTTTATTGAAGAGTTTTAGTCCATTTACATTTAGAGTTAATATTGATATGTTAGCATCTGTATTTGCCATTATGTTTGTCTTTCCTTTGATTTTATTTATTTATTCTTTAATAACTTTTTTTTTTTTTTTGGTCTTCTTTCGTTGTTATTCGTCCCTCTGAGGTTCTGGCTTTTAGGATTCCTTGTAGTATTTTTTGGAGTGGGGGTTTAGTCGCAATGAAATTCCGGAGTTTCTCTTTGTCTGGGAAGGTCCATATTCTTTCTTCATGGAGGAAAGAGAGCTTTGCGGGATAGAGTATTCTTGGTTGGCATCTGTTTTCTTGGAGTCTGTTGACTATGTCCCTCCACTCTCTCCTTGCCCGTAGTGTTTCTTCAGAGAAGTCTGATGTCAGCCTGATTGGTTTTCCTTTGAATGTTATCTGTTTCTTCCCTCTTGTCAGCTTCATTATTTTTTCCTTGTCCTGGATTCTTGGAGCTTTACTATTATGTGTCTTGCTGTGTTTTTCCTTTCGTCGTGGAAGTTTGGTGTTCTTCTTGCTTCTTGTATATCAATTTCAGCTCCTTCTTCTCATTTGGGAAGTTCTCT